GTAGCATTAATTATCCCACATGAACATTTAAATTTAGAATTTCACATATCATATTACCATAATGATTTCAAAATAAATATCCTACCTCCTAAAACTTGGAGAGGATTATTAAACAATGGTGATATATAAATTCCGTAATCGTCATTCAGGAGGGGATTTTGAAATTAAAATGGCACAATAGTGCTATTGGTGGTTTTGCAACCATGCCTTTTGACCCTAGTCCTTCGCAACTGTTTAGCCGTCAATGTACTTGTATAAATCTCTGATAGATCTCATAAGAGTAATACTGGACTGCTTACCACCAATTATCACAGAATTCCCAAAAACCAGTCTGATTTCTCATCTCAAATTCAGTGGTGGATCTAGGAACCATGATGAGTGGGAGCACATTATTTTATAAAAATTTTCATTTAAAAACAATTTATAACTTTATGTATATCATTAAAATAACATATTTTCATTTGAACTTTTCAATTATAACAATAAAATTAACCGACTAATAACATTATGATTTTTCCTTCTTAATTTAAATGGGGTAATCTTCCAATATTAATAGTTTCACCACGTAAATACTCATGAGAGATAGTTCCGTAACAACTTATGTAATACATAACAATGATCCATTGAAAAAATATCTAATGAATTGTCACAAACCATTATAACATCTTAATGAAATGCTAAGAATCACCTTAGAGGAAAACCAGTTTATCTGAGGGGAGATCAAATCATCCCACAAGTGTTGTTCAGATATTAGGGATCAATTATATACAAGGATGGTAAAATTGATGGAGACATTTCAAATAGAATACAAGTTGGATGGTTCAAGATAAGAACGGCTACTGGAATGAAATGTGACAAGAAGGTACCTAATAAGCTTAAAAGGAAGTGTTATCGAATAGCTATAAAAACAGCAATGTTATATGGTAATGAATGTTGGACTCTCTTATCTAAGAATACATAAAATATATTATTTATAAAGCTACAAACACTATTTAATTCACAAACATGTAAAAAATTTATAGTGCCTTGAAATACAACGGTTTCAAAGGCCCAACTAAAAATATAATATCAACATTTTAAATTAGATTACTATATTATTAAAAGAATAGTCAAAAAAAGCATCACATGTGTGCCCATATCAAAGATATAATCATATAATGACAATCAGAAAAACAATATTAAACAATGGGGTAGCAAAAGAAAAGGAACACCACTAAACTAAATTTAACTGAAATTTTAAGGTAACAAAAAAGAGAAAAATGTTATTTGCACCCCAAAAAAAAAAAGACAGAGAGAAAATATCATGAAGAAAAAGGAAAGAAAAAAAGAAGACAAAATTACGCTTGTAAATTTTTTATAACTTGGAAGTTAAAAATGTTAAATACAAATTTTCATGTGTGAATTCAATAAAATCAGGGACCCAAAAATTCAATGAATTTAGTGGATTCAAAATTATATAATACATGGGCAAGTAAAAAATATATACATATATTACCATAAATATACTACCATAAAAAGTGTTGGCAAAAAAAAAAAAAAAGTACTTCCTCAGTTCCTCTGGCACGGTTGATCATTTTCATAAATTAGACTTTGCACATGTTTGAAAATTTAATTCATTTTTTCCCTTTTTACACCCCACTGTATTAATTATCACATGTTGGCCAATTTATTCTCTACCGGTAGACTCTCTCTCATCTCTTTTTTTACTAATTCTCTCTCTCTCCTCTCTCTCCCCCTCCTTAAATAAAGGTATATTTGGGCCAAAAATACATTCCCTACACGCCTATTGCTTTTAGCTAATTTTATTCAACTTTTTAATTTTTCTTCTAGGAGGGGGGTGGGAGCTCCACCAGTGCATCAATTCATGATCCAGTATTTTGATGTAATCTACAGAATTTCAATGCATACATATATTCATACTATAATACAAACAATAGTATATAGATCCTACTCCGGGTCCTACTTATAAATCACTTCCAACATATCTCAGACAGACCCCAAAAAAGAAAAAAACCTTCAACTTCATTAACTCTCTTTATAATTAACAACTTTTCAACTTCATCTCTGTTTTATATACATTATACCCCTTGATAACAAAGTCCACATAATAATAAGTGACAGGTAAAATTGTAACATGAAAAAGTTTCTCTCTTTCCTAGAAATAGGACAAAAAAATTTCTTCTCTTTGTCCTATAAATAGGACTAAAGGAGTAGGTGAGGATGATAATGATTATAAATCACCAGGGCTTATTAGTAAAATTGACTCTCGAAGGATGACCAATTGATAGAGACCAAGATAGTAAGGGATGGCTAGATCTCATATTAAATAGCATGGGATGTTCTGCATTGTACCCAAGCAGATTGGTTTTTCCACCTCAATAGCTAGTTCTTGGGAGGGTTCCCTATCCATTGGGAGCCCATTAGACCGAACAGAATATTTTCCCATATATGCTATTATGTTTTAAAGGGAAAGTGTATAATATCCTTTAGGAAGTAATTTGGACATCCGTAATTGAAAAAACAGACCTTCTGCATTATGTAAAAATGAGACAACTCTAATGCATAAGCATACAATTAACTAAACTAGAATTGACCAGTCAACAAGTATGTATGACTGCATGCACCTAGTGGCTCTAGCAAAACATGAAGTGGGCAATAACTTTTCAACTGCTTGACAAAAAAAGACAATAGTAGTCAAGGATTTAAAAAATACAATTACCTACGTATGAGTTAAGAGTTAAGATAATATTCTTAAAACAAATAAGGTGAATCAAGATAATAAATGCTGACAAAATAAATCATGATAATAAATCCCTCAACCAAGTGAAACATGTTGAATATCTACAAGGAAGTAACCCCAAAAGACACCATGGACAGATGAGCTTAATGCTGAAGAAAATCCATGAGAAAAGATATTTGAAGTTTTGAACATCATGACTTGTGGCTTGTTATTTAATAATCTAGACTCTAGATATCTTTTCAAACGCAACAACTCTAGTATTGATTATGTTGCGACGATCAATACTACCGAACCTCAATGTTTTAAAATGTAACACATTATTAATTAATAGCAATAAACATGCTTCAGATATTATGAGACACTTTGTAATCAATAAGTATGAGGTCACAAGTACACAGATATATGGTTGATACTTACAGCTTTAGGGCATGTATTATTATACTTCCACCAGACCCACCACCCCCATCAGACCCTCCATCTCCACCTGCTGCAGTAACAGAGCCATTTATAAACAAAGTGTCATTCACTAGAAGCTTAATACGCCCCCCACCATTCCCTCCGAGTTTTTTCAGAGCAGATTTTCCGCCACCCTTACTGCCATAACACCATGGTTCAGACAAAGTAGACCAAGCATAAACATCACCACCCCAGTTTGTGGTATTATCTTTTATACAGGATGCACCACGCCCACCATGCCCTCCCCCAGCCCCATCATAGCCATAAGGAGTGCCGCTAGTTTGGGAAGGTGGTGCCCCACCCAAAGATGATGTGTTAATAGATGAACCATACTCCATAGACATATTGGCTGCTGATAAAACCACAGAACCAGCAACAATAGATGCATACTGACCAAGTTTAATGTTACCAGACATATTGAATATTATTGTGCATCCTTCCACCGGACATGATATAGAAGCATGAGGGAGTATCTCCAGGTTTCCAACTCCATATATGTGAATATCGGAATCCAAATGAAAAGTTGAACTTAGTAAACATGTAGTATTAAATGATCCTACACCTTCCAAGTCCTCACAAGATACTGACTCATTCAATGGAAATGACGCAGATGATATTTGAACAGATACAGAGTGATGGAATGGAGAAAAATCGCTTACAAGGGACCCAGATTGACCTAGCTGGTCTTCTGAGCCAGTACTCCTATTCCTATGCTGTCCCAAAATGAAAGATGTATGAAGATATCCAAATACAATGCAGCACCAAAGGTACCTATGCATTACCACAGAGTGCATCACCAACTATAGCAACTATGTATCAGGAGATATCCAAATGAAGTAATGTTTCAATCAGCTAAGTAGTTGGTGCAGACATTTATCCTGCAAGGTTTGTTTATGAATTCCACCAGCACAAAGATTTAATCAGTTGCCAAGGCTGCAAATTTTGCACATATTCTGCGACCAAAGGAAACATCAGAGTAGAGGAGTGAGAGAATAAATCGGTTGTTAACCTGTACTCATAAGATTATACAAGGTGTCATGCAGAAAGAACAACTACAGTGTGAAGTAGAAGCTTGTAAAAGCAAGGATTTACAAATATCCACCAAGGAAACTACATAAATAGCCTTCAGGATTTAACTTAAAAACCATCCAGCAGCCAAAAAAGAATTCCATCCATAATAGGGACTAAACTAAATAAGCAATTTGAAAAACTAGGGATATCACCAAATTCAGCCTTGTGAAAGCATGATTGTCAATTGCATTCTTTATCATGAGTTAGAAATTCCTATTCTGCAAGTTCTCCTAAATTAGGCCATCATAGGTCTAATAATACAAATCAATGCAGCTAGTCATGATAATCCCTCATTGTACTATAGGCTAGATATTCAATTTTACAAGAATAACCACAGAATATACATGATATATGATTTTTTCTTTTAAAAAAAAAAGGTTTTGACTAAACAGGTGCTAGATAATAAAATATTTAAGAGTGAAATTAAACCGCATGAGAGTCATGAGTCTTAGCCTTGGCAACTGGCAACATATATAGACATTGCCTCACTTCTCTTTTACCATGATCACTTATCCACAGCATAGCTGGAAAGCCAGCTCTGGCAACTATTCAAATATGAAATTATTCCTTCTATCAAAGGCAGTCGATTACGCGGAAGTTTCTAATGAAATTGGGCACGCAGAGGAGCAACTATGGGGAAGCTGGATTGAACGTTACTTCGGTTAATGCCCCAGCCATCATGCTTTGCTGATAGAAATTTTGTACATTAGCTGAAACAATTAGAAGGGCTTGAGCAGATATTATCAACGCACTTAATCCACATCCATGCATATACACTGTACCAGGTCCACAAATCTCCTTTAGTCATATTGCTTTCTTCTTTCCCTCATCGTTTCCATTAATTATGCATAATTAGAGGCTTGCGCGCTCTTGCTGAGTGATGTAATGCGACAACAGTGAAATTCCAATTCATAGACCACGCTGTGCCTAGCTTAATCCAGAATCCATTGACAGAGAATGTAAAAAAGAAAACCAAAGAACATTATCGAAAAATCATTGAAGCAATGTGCAGAGTTCAAGTGTGATCGCAGCATAAGATCGATCAATCAAATCATCCAACTAAAAAAGTTCCGCCAGCCAAATCAACAGCCATAAATAGCTCTAAGCATGACAATAAAACGCAATAAACAAAATCTCGGACGCCTTACATGCAATACTTGTACTGGTACAGTCAGAATTCCACTAAGCAGAAGGACTGAACTGACCGTTAAAAGAAAGGAGGAGATAGTGAAAATTCCACTGAATCTTTGCGGGAAGCTTCCCTTTTTTCCCTCTCTGATATTGTAGTGGCTCCTGGTCTAAGTCAGAGTCAGAGGAAATGGCGACCGCTTTCCCATTTGTTTTTGTTTTTTGTTTTTAATTTGTCCTTCTTTTTTCACTTTTCCTTTTCGTTTGGAATTACACAGAAAGCTCAGAAACAGCAAAAGGAGGAGAAAAGGAAAAGTCACTACGAGTCGAAGCTACGTTTTGCGCAGCTGGATTTTGATACATATTCACGCGAGTTTTTCCGCATTATTGGGTATCATTATATATTTGCCCTCCATCTTTGTCGAAATATCGTGACTGCCATTCATTTTTGACTTTCCTTTTTCTCTCAAAGAAAAGAGAAAACAATTGGCTGCCAGCCAGATATGTCATTTAGCCATCTGATCCCTTTTATAGAGTAGCGGAAGAAAAAATTTCTTAATTCTTTTTATGATTCATTTTATTAAATTTTTACCATAAACATACTATTTTGTTCTTTATTTATTATAGTATAGATAGTAATTTTTTAAAAATATGTACATATTAAATAAATATAAAATTGAAGAATTGTTATATTTTAACAAAAAATAAATGTATTTTAAAATTTTTTTAGTCCATGTGAAATTACTGAAAGTGCCTCACAAATATAACCAAAAACTACCAAATAAGAAAGAACAAAATTTTTTTTTTTAAATGTCAGTAAAAAAATCATTTTAAACACAATAGTAATTTCTTAATTAGTACTACCTCCGTTTCTTAATATAAGAGCTAGTTGATTAATTTGAGTAGATTAAAAAATTAGTTATGTTAGTTATTTGTAATAACTAGGTATTATTTTTCCTAAAATATTCTTACTAATCAAATGTATTAGCTAAAATTATTATTATTATAAGAGCTATTTTGAAAAAAAATTGGATAAATATGAGAGATAAAATAGATTAAAATTTTATATCTAGAATCAAAATAAAAATTAAATAAGATCTTATATTAAAAATCGGAAGAAGTATCACTGTGTGAATTTCAAAGGAAAATGACGGTATATAATATGACAATAAAGATAACACGTAACAAAAGAAAACAAAGGCACCCAAAATAAAGTTGAATACCAAGAAACGAGAAGTTTCGCTTTAATCATTTAGCAGAACAGGATAATAAATCATGTCTTTTCCGGGCGATTCAATAGCTATAAGCAAACGTTTGGCCAAAAAAAAAAAGCTATGAGCAAATGTTTGGCCCAAAAAGAAAAAAAGCTATAAGCAAACATTACTTGTTTTATCGGCATTTTTTTTTTGAAAAAATGATAATAAAATACCTTCTGAATTTTAAAACGATAAATAAGGCATTCGAATAAATAAAATGACAAAGAAGGCATCAAGTACTAATATGGGATTTTGATTTTGAATTTTACAAGACACATAGTGGGATTTACAGCTTTCATAGTGAGAATTATTACTTCTTCACTGGATTTTGCAACCTGTTTTGAAGGGCTGAGTCAAATTTTCTATAATTTTACAAACACATAGTGGGACTTACAACTTTCATAGTGAGATTTACTACTTGGTTTATGGGTTTTGCAACCTGTTTTGAGGGGTTGTGCAACTTTTCTGTAAAAAACAATACAATTCCATGTTGAATTTTACAAAACATACAGTGGGATTTACAACTTTTATAGTAAAAATTATTATTTTGTCAATGGGTTTAATAACATATTTTGAGGCCAAAAATCAAAATTCCATATTGGTACCTGATGTCTTATTTATCATTTTGTTTATTCGAATGCTTTATTTGTCGTTTTGAAATTCAGAAGGTATTTTATTATTATTTTTCCTTTTTTTTATAACAAGAGAAAGTAAGAAAATGTTCTATTGGCATTTGCTCAGCCGCAACCACCATAAGGACAGAGCTTGTGCTAAATACTCCTCCAATTCTAAATATAAAATTTATTTTGTAGTATAAATTACACTATAAGATGAGTCTTATATTTAGAATCGGAAAAAGTACTAATTACTACTCTCTCTAATTTTGTACATAAAATATAAATATAAATATAAATCATTGAATTAGCTTAAATATAATAAATATATTAAAATATATATTTTAAAAAATAACACTTATATATGGGGAGAGAGTAGTTGAGACTTGAGAGGAAATGAATAGAAGAAAAAATAATTAATATACGAAAAAAATAATTAATATAAGAGTGATTATGTAATCAATAGGACAATTAGTTCAAAAATTGGGGAAAACATTGGTTAAAATTTCAAGAGAGAATCTCAAAAAAAAAAAACTTTTGAATTTTAAAATTCTAAATCAGTCTTATTTACTACACTTTAATAATAATTGACAACATTTAAAAAGCAAATGACAACACATTTTTATAGTCATTTTTTATTTGAAAATTTAAAATTTTAGAAATATTCTTTTAGAATTTTCTCAAATTTCAAATATACTTTATAAATAAGGCTATGTTATACCTGTTCAAAAATGTTTTGTCGTACTTCCTCTATTACTCATTATAAGTTTCAAATAACTAATTTATGTATAATAAAAAATTACATAAAAGCAACAAATAAGTAGGAGTGAATATTCAGTTTTTCGGTTCAGTTATTGGTGATAACCTAAATAACCAAATAGAGTAAATTTTAAACACCAAACCAAAATCAATTAACTGAACTAACCGAAAACCGAATTAAACAAAATATTTTGGTTCAGTTAACTGATTAACAAAAATATATAAATATGAAAATTGATTTTAAATTTAAAATAATAATAAAACATAATTACAACAATTAATTAATAAATATTTTATCATTCAATGTGATTTATTAAATAATATTTATTATAATCATATTTATTGAATATAAATATATTTAAAGAGTTCACATAAACCCATATATATATATTTATTATTATAATACTTATTAAATATAAATATATAATATATATTTAGGTTTTTCAGTTATAACTGAAATTTCTTTTAATTAACCGAACCGAACTCCGAAACCGAATTCTTAAAAAAAAATAAAAACCAAATATGTAACAAAAAACCAAAATAACTGAACTGAAAAACTGAAATTGAATTCAATTCGGTTCAGTTTTCGGTTACAGTTCGGTTTTGCTCACCCCTATAAATAAGTAAAAAATATATATTTATTTTTAAATATATTATTATAATAAATTAGAAAAATAATGAAAAGAAATTTATAGAAAAATATAATGAAAGAGTTTGACAAATAAGATAAAATAAATGATAAATAATAAATAATTAAGAATAAAATTAAAAAGAACGTATCAAATGTTGAGATAAACCTAAATATTAAAATAAACTTAAATTAAAATTTATAAAATATACAGTATGTTTTTTTCAAAATTTTGAAGCTCGTGAGAGGACCTGAGGATTATTGATCAAAGGTTATTGGAAATGAGCAAAAGAGTAATTGCGCATTCATTAGAATTAAAAATGTAATTAAAGAGGCAAGTGGGAGCAAAAGCACAAGAGGAAGAAAGAGAATGGTGAGATCCATCCATCCAAGGGTCAAGGGTGGCGTGGCTGACAACAGAAAGGGACTATAAATGAGAGTATTGAAGAGAGAATGAATGGCATTTTAATTCCCAAACTTTTGTACAAAACCCCAACTAATTTTATTCCTATCGTTACTCCAATTTAATAGTGTTAATTTTCTTTTTCAGGTAGGGCCCACGCCAACTGCTCCAATGTGGGTCACTACGTGGGAAACCTACAATAAAAACGCCCTTCCGGGGGACGGAATATGAGGAAGCACGTGGACGTCACCTGACTTTTGCATTACGGGATCCAGCATCACCTAGAAGTCTTGATGGTGATATTAACTAACAGGGTATGCGTAAGTAAGTGTACAGCACTACATTGTTTAATATAAGTTACTTTTCCCATATTTTTATATATAAAAAAATATATTAAATCAACAATTTTTTTTAATTTTACAAATTATTTTTCACATCTCTTCTTCCTTTCTTTCATTTCGATGAAAATTACTTATCTAGTCCTATTTATAGAACAAAAAGAGAAGTTTTTTTATCCTATTTATAAGTCACTTATTAAATTTTCAGTGTGAATGTACTCTTCCGGTCCTTAATATATGACCTAATTATTAATTTGATTTTGGTCCTAAATATAAGACCAATTTCTCATATTTATCAGTTTTATCTAAGTTACCCCTATAGATACTCTTTCAACCATAATCAAGTAGAAGAAGGAGATGGGGTATTAAGAAAGGTTATTATAGTGTTTTAGGAAAAATGTGTCACATTTCTTATAATTAACTAACTTACCTAACTTTATTAATATAATCAAATTAATTAAATAGTTTTTATATTAAGAACCGGAGGAGTACTATTTTGTCGTTCATTTATTATAGCGTAGGTAGTTGTCTCTTTTGAAAGGTGCATATATTAAATATAGATAAAGTTAAAAAATTATTATATTTTAATAGAAAGTTAATACATTTTCAGATTTTTTAATTTATATAAAATATATTAAAAGTGTCTTATAAATACCATGAAAGAAGTAAATACGAATAAAATTAAAAAGTACCTTTTTTTTTTACCAGAAAATTAAAAAGTACCTTTAAAGATTAGAGTGATATAATATATTATCCACAAGTCATGAGCTCCGGAGGTGAGAGCTAACTGTCAAATTTCTATGGGGGGAAGAGTTCAATCAGCAAATCACAAAAAGGCAGCTTAAAAGGCACAGAACGTTGCCAAGCGTGCCAACACTTCCTCTGTTAGAAAAATGCTGATATAATCTTTGATTCTTTAAATTAAAATCGGAGCCGTTAAATATTGTTGATCTTACATAAACACTGTTAATTTTGATGATGCAACCAAATAACTGAAAAGATGATTTGGCATTCTTACAGGTTATGTGGCGGTGTTGTTGCTTGTGTGCTGTGTTTTGAAGCCTTTCATCCTTAGAAAGATCGAAATGATAGGTTTTTTTTTTTTTTTTTTTGGTATAAGATTGGCTTCTTTCTTAGAGTATTATTACTGGAG